GCCTCTTAAATCAGGTGTCCCCCATCACAGTGCCCCTTACATCAGGTGTCCCCATCACAGTGCCCCTTACATCAGGTGTCCCCATCACAGTGCCCCTGACATCGGATGTCCCCATCACAGTGCCCCTTACATGAGGTGTCCCCATCACAGTGCCCCTCACATCGGATGTCTCCATCACAGTGCCCTCTTACCTTATAATGTCGGGAAGGCAGAGTGCGTTAGCCGGAAGGTAAAGCAGGCTGCAGGTCTTGATGCCAATGATTCAAATCCTACCATTTTTACCCCACCACCATCCCGTTTAAACATAGTGAGCATCACAAGGGAAACTTCTCATTGAATACAAGTGCCATCCCTTGTGCTGATACAAAAAATTATAATCTTAGGCTTTAATACATGAGGTTCAGAGGGGTCAAAAATGGAAGCTTTTTGTGTTGCCAAACAGATTTTATTTGTGATTTTTTTATCAACTGTTTTTTTTAAACAGATAATTTCATGCTTACCTTAGACCACTGTATCAGCATCAAGACCATCTTTTTACGATTTTGCCATCTACTACTCACAGGCATTTGTGTAGAAGATAAAAATGATGACTTTGCTGGCCGGTTTTATCTTTGTAAAAATATCCAGTTGTTCTGTTCAGTTTTGCAGTGTATAGATATTTATTGTTTGTCCCTTTGAGACTTGTGAACTTTTTACAGACTTTGATGAGGACACGCAAAACACAGAAGTAGGTTAAAGTGACCCCGCCTCTACAGGGATGAATGTAAAATAAAGACATCCTGTAAAAGAAGATACCTCTGCCATGGTATGGGAAGGACACCTAGAATGGTCCTGCCCACCTACTGCGAGTGGGTGTGGTCAAAAATAGTAGACACGGTTATTGCTGGAGTTTAGATAAAGAAACAATTTTTTTCAGTACAGCTTCAGTTATATTTACCTGCAATGAATATGTCCCACAATGTGCAGGCTGCTAGATGCTATAGAAATCTTCACTGGAGGGCTGCCCTGTCCTCTTCCTGCTGTTGAGCTTCCTGTGCTTTGGGGGTTAACAGCTGTGCGAAAGATGATCTGCCCTCTCCTCCTATCAGAAAAGTTCTTTCATTGATTGCACTGTCTGTAACACGATTTGTGAATGAAAGAGAGGGTCATATGAACTGTATTGTTGCTGTATCGTCTCCCGTTATGTTGTAAAGCGCTGAGCAAACTGTTGGCGCGATATAAATCCTGTATAATAATAATGTAATTGGCCAGATCACAAATCATGTTAGATGCAGTGTAATCAGTGAACTTTTCTCATTGGAGAGGGCATGTCTGCATCCGATCATCTTTAGTGCAAATGAACCTGGAGACCCGAAGCTGTTGAGCCCCACAGTGCTAGAAGTCGGGCACCAGGAAGAGGACGGGGCAGATTTCTACAGAATCGTGAGACATCCATCATTACAGGCAAGTAATGTAAGGAAAGCTATAGAGATTTTTATTTTGTTTTTTAACTAAATTTCAGCTTTAATAAAAGAAGTGTCACATCATGGTATATGGCTCGTAGGGACTTTTTTGTAGGCCTGATAAAGAGGCAGGGATACACATTACTGCTGGATTACATATGACTGAACAAGCAATAAAAATAGCTTTCCATGCTGCAATCCCTTCCACTATTTGTAGACACCTTTCCCCACCACACTCTTTCATTGGTAGTCAGTGACTGTAATAATTAACACACCACCCCTCCCTTTCATTACTGTTCAGGGCAGTAATAGGTATCCCCCCACCATCACCAGCATCCTTCATTGGTGTTCAGTGGCAGTAATATTAAAGCCCCCCTTTTATTGGTGGTCAGTGGCAGTAACAATTATCTCTCCTTTTATTGGTGGTCAGTAGCAATAATAATTAACACCCCACCTTACCCCTTCATTGGTGGTAAGGGCAATAATAATTACCACCCCACCCTATCCCTTCATTGGTGGTCAGTGGCAGTAATATTAAAAGACCCTCTCCCTTTGTTGGTGGTCAGTGGCAGTAATATTAAAGCCCCTTTCATTGGTGGTAAGTGGTAGTAACAATTAACCCCCCAACCACTTTCATTGGCGGTCAGTAGAAATTACAAATACCCCTCTTTTTATCAGTGGTCAGTTGCAATAATAATTACCACCCCACCCTATCCTTTCATTGTCGGTCAGTGGCAATAATAATTGACACCTCACCCTTCCCCCTTCATTGGTGGTTAATGGCAATAATAATTAACAACCCACCCCTTCGTTGGTGGTCAGTTGCGATAATAATTGACACCTCACCCTTCATTGGTGGTCAGGGGCAATAATAATTAACAGCCCACCCCTCCCCTCCCCCCCCTTCATTGGTGGTCAATGGCAATAATAATTAACAACCCACTCCTTCATTGGTGGTCAGGGGCAATAATAATTAACAGCCCACCCCTCCCCCTTCATTGGTGGTCAATGGCAATAATAATTAACAACCCACTCCTTCATTGGTGGTCAGGGACAATAATAATTAACAGCCCCGCCACTCCCCCTTCATTGGTGGTCAGTGGCAATAATAATTAACAACCCACCTCTTCATTGGTGGTCAGGGGCAATAATAATTAACAACCCACTCCTTCATTGGTGGTCAAGGACAATAATAATTAACAGCCCCGCCACTCCCCCTTCATTGGTGGTCAATGGCAATAATAATTAACAACCCACCCCTTCATTGGTGGTCAGGGGCAATAATAATTAACAGCCCACCCCTTCATTGGTGGTCAGGGACAATAATAATTAACAGCCCACCCCTCCCCCTTTATTGGTGGTCAGTGGCAATAATAATTAACAACCCACCCCTTCATTGGTGGTCAGGGGCAATAATAATTAACAGCCCACCCCTCCCCCTTCATTGGTGGTCAGTGGCAATACCAAATAATTGTCATTGGTGGTCAGGCCCCACCTCATTACACATGGAGCAAATGAAGGCTTACGCAACCCCCGACATGCTACCACGTACATCTGCCTTTTATAATGCATAATGCAGTGGCAGTAATATTAACCCCCCCCCCTTTCATCGGTGGTCAGTGGTAGTAATAATTAACCCCACCCCACCTTCATTAGTGGCAGAAACAATTACCTTCCACCCCTTTCATTGGTGGTCAGTGGCAGTAATAATAATTAACACCCTCCCCCTTCCAATGGTGGTCAGTGGCAGTGACAGTTAATTTTCATTGGTGGTCAGTCGCCACCTCATTATACATATACATGAGTTGCATTATAAGAGGCGGCTGTACACGGTAGTACGCAGGGGGTTGGCATTCACTATGCAGGCTTATGCAACCCTCTGCGCACTACCGTGTACAGCTGCCTCTTATAATGCATCTCAATGGGCGACTGTATGGGGTGGCAGCGGGTCCTAGGAGTGTCATTACACAGACTCTGCAGTCCTCTGTGGGACCATGTGCTTGAGGCCTAAAGCATCCACATTTGCACTAATGTATATTCAAAACGTTCAGAGTTCAGAGTGAGCGCTCAGAGCGTACATCAGTCCCCCTGCACGGTGCTTTGCACACTATCATGAACTCTTCTATAGCTTTTGAAAGGGCATCTGTATGCAGCAGCAGGTCCCAGGAATGTCATTTCACAGGCTCTGTATGCTCCTCCATGGACCCTGTATGGCTGTGTGCATGAAACCTTCATATTTGTGTTGCCAAATCTTTTTCCTTTTGTATAGTGTGAGGAAGGTTTAGAATATCAGTCATATTTATCCTGCTTCTTCATCCACATTTGGAAAAAATTTCCATAACTTCCTGTCCAAGTGCCCCCAGCACAGCTGTTACAAATTTGTGCCTAATAGATTTATTTCCTATGATCATCAGCTCCATCTAGAGCTGGGTCTCCAAACTTTTTAAACAAAGGGCCAGTTTACTGTCCTTCAGGATTTAGGGGGGCCAGACTGTGGCCAGCGTGAGTAGAAAATGTCTTGGCATCAGTGGAAGTAAACACTGCCCCATTGTTGGTTTTAGCAGAAGGAATAGTGCCCCATTGTTGGTATCAATGGCAGACACAGTTCCCAAATAATAGTGTCAGTGGGAGGAATGGTGCCTCATCATTGGTGTCGATTTGAGGAATAGTGTCCCAAGGGCCAGAGAGAGTCAAGCAAAGGGCCACATCTGGCCCCCAGGCTGCAGTTTGGAGACCACTGATCTAGAGAGTATAATGTGGTATTTTCCTGATCAGGAAAATACCACATTTTGGCCACTTGATGGGTAGAGGATATGTATAGGGCGCATCAATGGAGGAGGCTGTGGACCGAGAGATGTCAGCCGGGGATGGAGGAGACACTGGACAACAGGCAGCACTTCTAGGAGTTGAAGCAAATTTGGCCACCTTGGCCATTTGATGGAGCTGAGGATCATAAGAAATAAATGTATTGGGCAAAATTTGTGATGGTGGGTGAACACTTGGGACATTCGTCCAGCAATGTTTTAATAAATAGACCGCGATGTGTGTATGGCCAGTTTTAGAGGTGTCACCAGAACAAGAGATGCTAATGGACACAACTTTTCTGATGACAACTGGAATTTCCTTTACTTTTACTGATATCCTATTGTTTCCTGTTACATCTCCAGGATGGGAATTGAGAGGAAATCTCCCCAATGGGACACAGGCAGTTAAAAAACTGACGGGTTTTACCCTTACACTATCCAAAAGAAAATTTGGGGTTATAAATTCAATTTAATATTTACAGTTCATTGAAAGCTAACTTCAGATATGGGCAGCTAAAAATAGCCATTCTGTGCCCAAGTTATACTCTGATCCAGGATGTAGCTAATTATAGAAAAAATATTTTTTATTTCTAGGTTTACATTCTCAAGTGAATTGTCAACAACAGAATAACACAGACAAAAATAAAAACATCACGCCATCAAGTCTAATAAAACAGAATGATTGCACAACCTTTTCTTTTAAATCAGTACCTCCTATGGTCCCCAAGTCCTCTGTACACGGAATAACCGGACGTTAGCGCTGAGCCACAAATCTCAGTCTCTGTGTGTATACCAAGTCCGCTATGTACAACGCCAGGTTGATATGGGTGAAGATGGTGACCACTAGTTGGCTGTCCCACGGGCAGCGCCCCCAATAACATTTGGCCGGTCTGGATGGAGACCCATATTTTGCATCGAAGCAGAAGACAGGCCATATAACGGACGCACTCATGTACATCAGTATCGCAACCACCGTATAGATCACCACAAAGCGTTCAAAGGGGCAGCGAAGTGTTACCCGCCCTTCCGGTGATGTTGAGAACGATCACCACTACAGTCACTGCAAAGCAAAAACTGTACACAGCCACGCACCACTGAGTGGCCACATACCTCTTGTATTGGCTTTCCGTAGCCAGAGCTCCGAAGATCACGCATGCCACAAAGGCCTGGACCACTTTCAGGAGCCCCGCCGCCGTGGCCATGTAGCTGCAGGGCATACCGGGCTTGGCACGGGTCAAAAACACCTCCACAGCGTAGACCAGGAATAAGAGCCCCGCGCAGATGCTGACCGCCAGTCTGTGGTTCCTGGTGCCGCAGTCAGACGATGAACAGTTCATGGTGACGAAGTAGAGCGGGTAGATGACACAAGCCGTGAGGGTCATGAGAGAAGCCAGCATGGCAAAGGCCGCAGTGAAGTTCCCCCAGGACAGGTTGCGTAGGCAGGACTGCAGCCTTGTGAAGTCACAGATGACGATGAGGGTGGTGATCGCAAAACAGAAGCACCATACAAAGACGCAGAAGGTTCCGTAGGCTGCGCTGAACCCGGCTCGGTGGAGAACTAGGCTGAAGGTGGCACATCCGAACAGTAGTTGAAGCAAGCGCACAACCCCAACCTTGGACCACACAGCCTGGACATTTAGATAAGCCCCTCCAGAATGGTCCATGTTTGGATACAAAACTGAAGAGGACCTTGGTCTTGGTCTCCGAGCTCCTCTACCAGTCCGTGCCTCTTGTTGGGCTGGTCACCTCCAGAATGACAGTATGACCGTGCTGAGATCCTCTGAGCATATTCTGAGTATAAATAGGAGGCAGTATTTATAGTGTTGGATGAAGTTCAGAACAGTCCCTTCGAGGGGATGAGACGGTTCCCCTTACAGACGAGCACATTCCAAAAAGTCCACCTGTCACAGCACTCACATACCTCAAGTGGGATAATGATCTCAGACCATCACACACTAGATAACACGAGAATTTTAGACTGCATTATTTATTCCTCCATGAAGAACACGGATATAAGAAATGTGAAATTTTTATTCATTTATGGCCCAGATCTGATTTTGGATGGAACATGAATTTCCAAATTTTGGGTGGAGAATTAAGATATAAAATAGATTTTTTTTTTTTAGAGATATGCAGGGGCGGATTGACAACTCATGGGGCCCCCGGGCAATATGGGATCATGGGGTCCCTGTGTCCTTGGCCAAACTCAAAAATGCCTATGAAAAAGGTACCAGGTGGATCTCATGGGGCCCCATACTTACCCAGGCCCTCGGGCAGTGCCTGATTTTCCAAATGGTCAATCCGCCCCTGGGTATATGTTACATATGATTTGGCCCGTGATTTCACATTTACAAAGGGCTCATTCGCATCATGAGGTGCGTCTGAGCGCATGTGCTTTTTTCACATTCCCATGTTTTAGGGCAGGCTATGCATTTGAATGGGCTGCCTTATGTACACAAAACGTTAATGGTGCGGGCAAAACATTTCAAATCACACCACACCAAAACAGTACTATGCATTTTGGTGGGCGTGAATGCATGTACAATTGCCAGATGCAATGAGGGGGTCATTCGGAATTAACCTCCCTAGCGGTATGATTATGTCCATATTTCTGTGCTCAAAGTGGTACATTTTTTTTTTGCATGGAAATATATATTTTTTTTATTGTAGGCCTGTAATTTTTAGGAATAACTCACTGAAATCTGTCCGAACAAGAGTCTAGTAAACATCCTGGATATAATAAAATTTGAAACACGAAATAATAAATTATAATTTAATAATCATAAAAAATAATAATATAATAATAAATTTAATTCAATAATATAATCAAACCAAAAACACTGAAATTTGAAATAGAGCGCCAAGTTCGCACGTCGCAGAATCATTTTCAGTGTCTGATGACGAATTTCCCCACGAATCATTATCACTCAATTCTGCAAGTGGTTCTGATTTACTATCGCTGTTCTCTAGCCGGTCTAAAACCGCTTTTGACCTAAAGGGACGCTTTTTGGACGCCATGGACGTTTCTCAGTTTCCAGGCAGAAAGAACAGTAAAAATGCAGGCAGGGCGCCGAACAAAGCACTCGGGACAAAATGTATGTGAAATGGTTTGATACAGGAATGTTATACTACGTGATTTTAGTGTATTTAGTGAATGTCACTATTTGTCATTTTTAAATTTTCCCGCCGCTCCGTCCCCCGTACGTCCCGACGTCGCAGGGAATGGAACCCAGAAGACGGATGCCGGCATCAGCCGGAGGACAATACAGGGGACACTGCAGGAGGGACATCACGGGAGCGCAGGACAAGGTAAGTGAAGAAGAGATCCCGGAGCAGCGCTGCAGTGTATTCCTGAGTGTAGCTCGGGGTTACCGCTTGTGGTGCTGAAACTACCCCGAGCTACACTCGGGAATACCGCCAGGGGGGTTAAAGGCATTCATGCACGTCTGCGGAAGGCAGTCTGTTTTCTTGGGGTGCAGGAAAATGCGCAATTTGGCATGTGGTGCTGCACCGGATCAAACCCTTAAGCTGGCCATACACTAGTAGAATTTAATTTAAATCTTTTTCATTTTAAGAACCTTCTTCTGATTTTCTAAAACTTTAGTGGGGTCAAATTGGTGTTTGATTCAATTGCAATGATGGGAAAATGCGAAGGAGCAGGATGGAAAAAGCGTTTTAAAAAAAATGAATTTCTGAGTGCCTGCCGCTATTCTAAAAAGTGATACGTGGTGGATCGCTGTTCAGAGGTGTTTGACAGACAGTAAGGCCCTCTGCTTAATCAAAATGCCAACTCCCCTGCCCCCCCTTCACCACAACGGTTGCATGGCTGTTGTGGCATGGTTCCTTTCACTTGAAGGGGTCACAATTGGCAGCGGTACTGCTTGCCCAATGCAGCATGCCATTTCTTTACTAATGCAGCCACAAAGCAAAGCAGCACGACCACGGCATGATTACATCCCTGAGCAGCTGTATGCTATTGTTTAGGTAGGTGTCTGGGGGCAGTAAAACTGCAGCTCAACCAGTGGCAGACTGACAATTCATGGGGCCCCCGGGCAATAGGGGATCATGGGGCCCTTGTGTCTTTGCCCAAACTCAAAGCACACCCAAAAAAAAGCCTATAAAAAGGTATCAGGGGCATTTCATAGGGCCCCCTACTGACCCCAGGCCTTCGGGCAGTGCCGGAGTGTTCGAATGGTCAGTCTGCCCCTGGGCTCAACCACCTGCTTTTGCTCCCCAGCCTCCCGTGTGACTGATCCATAACTGTGTATGTAGTTTTGTTCAGGAAAGAATGAACATAGTTGTTGCACAAAATACATGAACACTCTATTCCAACAATTTTCTAACCGGTTTCTTCAAATTTTCTCTTTATTGCTGTTAAAAACAAATGTCAGAGTGACCTCCACTAAGGATTAGAAAATTAAATGAACATTCATAAAGGGAAAACCGTTTGAAGGAAATTCTGTATGTGTTGCTTTGGGTTGACCATGGACTATTCCATCTGATTTTACAATGTTTTAGATCTACCGTCAACTTTGGAGTACTAGGGCCCTTCCTATTATATACAGACTGATTGCACTGTTTGTCCACATTAGGGATAGGCTGAACACCCCTGTGTTCGGTTCACGGTCGAACATTCAAACCAAATGAATGTTCGACCACAAACTTCAAACTCAATGCAAGTCTATGGGAGTCGAACTTGTAAATTCAAAAGTGCCCATTTTGAAGGCTTATATGCAAGTTGTTGGCCATAAGAGGGGGATGGGGACTCGGTTACTGCCCTGAGGGACATGAATCAGTGAAAAAGAAAATGTCAAAAAGTACCGTTTTTAAAGGGGCAGTAATGTTTCATTGCCTAAAGTAAAAAAAGAAAGAAAAATTCCTTTAAATATCATGCCTTGGGGGTTCCCCCTGACCGCAGATAGCCGAATGATGGCTTCACTGTGGCCGACCAGTTCTGGGAGGGTGTCATACGACGTCCTCCCAGAATGCGCTCTCCCTCGCACCCGGCGATCTCCGTGATCGGTGTCCTAAGGACACAGCTGATCACATGATGTGGTAAAAGGTCAATCACAGCAGCCTTTTACCACGTGATCAGCTGATCACTGGTAAATGCAGTTGCCGGTTATTGGATGCACTTTCCTCACGCTGTCACAGCGTGAGGAAAGTGCTGCCGATAACCGGCAGTTGTCAGAGGACGGATCGGCACCAGTCATCAGGGAACTGATGATCAGTGCCAACCACCAGTGCCACTCACATGTGCCCAGCAGTGCCGCCCACCTGTGCCCAGCAGTGCCACCCAGAGCCCATCAGTGCCACCCATCATTGCTGCCCAGCAGTGCAGTCAGTCAGTGCCCAGCAGTGCCACCAGTCAGTGCCACCTATCAATGCCGCATATCAGTGCCCATCATTGTTGAATACCAGCGCAGCATTAGTGCCACCTCATCAGCGCTATCAGTGCCCATCAGTGCAGCCTCATCAACGCACATCAGTGAAGGAGAAAAATTACCTATTTGCAAACTTTTATAATAGAAACAAAGAAAAAAAATGTTTTCACAATTTTTGCTCTTTTTTTGTTTATAGCGCAAAAAATAAAACACCCCAGTGGTGATTAAATACCACCAAAAGAACGCTCTATTTGTGTGAAAAAAATTATAAACAATTCACATGGGTACAGTGTTGCATGACCACGCAATTGTCAAAGTGTGTCAGCACTGAAAGCTGAAAATTGGTCAAGGCAGGAAGGGGGTATAAGTGCCCGGTAGGCAAGGGGTTAAACTACCTGAAAAGTTGCACATCTGTATAATGTATAGAACCTGCTGCAGCAGCGACTGACAAAAAAAAAACAAAAAACAAAAACAGCATGGAGTCCCCCCCCATTCTCTACCAGATCCTTTAGGCCTGGTAGAAAGGTTAGGAGGGACCCCCCCAGTAAACTAAATAAAAAAAATGTGTGTGGGGTTCCCCCTAAAAGCCGTATTAGGCCCTTTAGGCCTGATAGAGCTTTTAAGGGGAACTCCACCACCCAAAAATGGGGTGGGGGCGTGGGGTTCCCCCTAAATGCCTCCCCTCCCTCCCTCCCTGTGGCCTACCAGACCACGTGCCCTGAGCATTGGGACTATGTCCTCATGCCGATGGGGACAAGCGCCGCTTCCTCACAACCCTGGCCTGGTGGTTATGGGGATCTGCGGGCAGGGGAGCTCATTAGCATCAGGGTACCCCTTTAAATAGGGGGACACCCTGATGCTGCCCCCCTCCTTGTGAATGAGTAAGGGGTAAGGTTCCTTAATTGAACAAAAAACAAAACTACAGTTTTTGACAAGTCCTTTATAAAAAAAAAAAAAAATTACAAAAAAAAAAAAAATGATAGTCAATCACGGCGTCCAGCATTGTCACGCCGACTCTCTGAAATAAAAAATAAAGCCTGACCCCCTACGTACCCGCTAAGCACTCGCCACAATCTGACATTTGCCGGTCAGATTTCAACAATTGGGCAGCGTTAGCGGTGCATTATTTACATCCTCATATACGTATTTCTAGACAATATTTCTTATTCGATCCATAAAATCATTAAATATGAGCGCTGACCCCATTTAAAACAGCACATCATATTTGCTGTTACTTATTATGCCAGTCTGAATAAAATGTTTGGCAAAGCATGCCTGGC